TCCCATGCACTATATAGATAAAGCTTGGGCAAAAATCAAATGTTCTCAAATAAACCTTCACTAGACATATATTTTTTTCCTTGAACTAGTTGTTAGTAGGATGTTGAAATAATATGGTTCCCTCTGGTTTTTAACACCTAGGTAGGCATTATTTCTCTCTCTCACTGTCTAACCCTTCCACCATGGTTTCCTCATTTTTCCCATTTCTTCCTTAATAATACCCTTCTCCTCTGGTCCCACTTCTCTTGAGCTCCTTCTTTCCTTTTATCCCCAAGTTTCCTTGTATAATCCTCTCTCCCCCCTCCCATTTAAATAACCCCATTTCTATCCATATCTCCCTTACTGCCTTTAATCCATCAAATCTTCTATAGGACTCTATACACCAACAGCATCATCACCTAGAATTTGACATGTAGACTCCACCTCAGGATCTACTGAAGCAGAATCTGCATATTAACATCACAACTGTGTACACAGCAGTTCAAGTTTCATGTACACATTGCAATTAAGATGTGCTGGTAATTGAGATTGGTGCTATAGTTAAGGCCAATGCACTTAAGGGGACATGTGTGATAAACATGTCAACCCCTTCTGGCTGCTCTTGCCCCTGTGATTCTCCACTTGTCCATTTCACTGATCCTTCCTTACTCCTCTCATATAGCAAACTAAGTAGGCAGCTGTGAAGACCGTCAGGTAAAACCTCCTAACCAAGAAGTGGGCTTTTCACAACAAACCCTTATGCTATGTTGAGTCACAGCCATTTTCAAACACACACACACACACACACACACACACACACAACTGAAAACACATAGACTCACCACAGTGGGTATGCAAATATATTACCAGACACCCTCCTCTCTAGCAGGCATGATCCACTCAACTAGGGCAAACACAACACACTGGAAGGTCCCTTGAGTGCCAGTGCTGGAACCTGAAAAGGCATCCCTAAAGGAATTTTTCTAATTCTAATAAATGGAATACAATGATCTCTCCCAAATCTGGGGGCGGGTAGTAATACTAAGAAGCACAGAGAAGAGGAGCCGGAAACAAAAGACCACCCTCTCTAGAAAAGTGTAAGATCACGTGAGTGATTCTGAATGAGGCCTGCCTCCTCCCAGGAGGGCCAAAGCTGAGCCTGGAGCACCACACAGAAGGGAACATCCTAATTACTAGCCCCAAACTCCAGAGGAGACAGCTGTAATTTGCTTATGCTTCCTCTGTATGCATTTGAGAAATTATTTATGCTTACAGTCTCTGTCTATCTAGTAATCTTCACCAGCTACAATCTTGAAATAGATAAAAATCATTTTTCATTAACTCCATGCAATGAATTTCGCTGACTTTTTTAATGAAGTAGTTCTGGTTTTTATTTGTATTTATTTACTTACTTTGTACACACAAATTTAAACATATTGGATTTAGTTTCTCTGTCCATGGATGACTATAAACAACAACTTAGAAATAACCCAGAGTAGATTAAGGTGGGATTGTGGTGAAGAACAAGTAAAATTGACGATTACAATACCGGAAGTGCCAAGAAATAAAATAAAGTTTATAACAGCTGAATAGCAAAAAGTCAAAGCCTCGAAACATTATTAATGTTTCCCAAGAAAATTCAAATGCGCTTGTGATAAGCAGCCTAGGTAAGCCTACTACCTGGTCCGTTATTCTCATAATGAGTTCCTGAGTCATCCACAACCATAATATGTCATATTACATTTAATATTTCAGGTTAAGATAGACACTCACTGTTTCATTTTATTAAAAATTCCACAAATAAATATTTAAAACTGTTAGGGTCCTGACACTTAGAGCCTAGTTTCAATTCCTAGAATATAAGCATTTGCAGGTTTCTATCAACTGAATACCAAAATATCAATTTAACAAGTTAATCGGACATCCATAATTGAGCTAGCACCATGCTAGATAGTAATAATGCAAAGATGAATGATAACCAGTCAAGGACTAGGGATATAGCACAATGGTGGATAAAGCATTTGTCACTGAATTCTATCCAGAGCACCACAGAAATAAAAAAAGGAAGAAAGAGAGGGTGAGGGAGAGAAAGGAAAGGAAAGAAGGGAGCGAGAGAGGGAGGGAGGGAATAAAAAATGAAAGAGAAAGGAGGGCAGGAAAGGTAAAGAAAAAAAGGAAGGAAGGAAAGAAGAAAGAAAGAGAGGAATGAGATGAGGAGGAGGAAGAGGAAAGAATCTGGCCTTTCTTCCAAGGCAAATCTACCTTAGAATAATTATACAGGGACGGTTGGTGCATTCTGTCGGGGATAGGTTGAGTGGAAGCTGCATTTGATAAAAGAGGGATACCTTGGGAAATGGTGGCTGATGACACAGGTGGAGACAAGCCCCCCCCCCGCCGGAATTCTAAACATTTGAATAATTGTATTCACCTGGCAATCCCTAAGCCAGAGGACGGTGCAAATAAAGCAGTTAGAATCTGCCTATGGGAAATAAGCAGGATATCAAATGCCTTTAAATCCTGTCCCCCATAGGAGAATGGGAAAATAAGAACGAGGGAGGCATTGCAGAAAATCAACTCATTTTCCTTACAGCCTTTCCATCATGTAAAAATTGTCGCTGGAGCCTAAAGGAAATGCAGGCAAAAGCATCCTGGGAGCCCAGCAGGTCCCCTCCACATCCTTCTTTGAAATCAGCCCTCTTTCCTTTTCCTGGCCTCAGCCTAACTTACCTTCACTGAAGACGAAATCTGAGATGATGTCAAAGGGTTGGATGTGAACTGCAGACAGGATCATGGCAACAGTCTTCTGATGATCACTGGAGGCCAGAGAAATGGTCTGTTGAGCCTGACACTCATAGGACATACCAGCTGGGGTGACCAAGGCAGCGAGGCGATGGGAGTTGGCCGTGTGTTTCCCAGCTGTAGTGAGGCCCAAAGCAGTGGTTAGGCAGTTGCTGGCTGTGTCCTCATTGCTTCCAGGCCAGGAGGCTCTCCACTCAGCCCAGAGCCAGAGCCCATGCCTCCTAGAGGTGATGCCAGTCCCAGGTCTGGGGCTCCACCAAAGATATGAAGAGGCCATGAAGGACCAAGTCACCCACTGTCTTTGAGCCTGTGCTCATTAAATATTAATTTGGAAGACTATTTTGGAAGACGAGTGCTATCTGAAAACACAACTCTTTTCACGAAAAATCTCTATCAAGGGAGATTCCAAAGATAGAGAATGAATGGTGGCATATCTCCAGTTTTCTCCTTCCTGGCCCAAGTTTGCTGTTTTCCCCTCTCTTTTTCCTCTCTCTTTTTCTGTCTCTTTCCCTCCCCCACAGGGATAATGCTTGATTGTGTGTTTTGATTAAAAGAACAAATCAATCTTTTCATGCAAATATAAAACAGAAGAGGAAAGATGAGGCTGGTATTCTTTAATGTCCTGGATAACAATTCTTTCCCACTCAGAGCCCGAGCAACGGAAGACCTCAGTACAGGTGAGGCAATCTATTTTATATTAATTTTTTAAGTACATTTAAATCTGGTCTTTGACAGTGGTTGCAAATAACCCACTCTTTAGAAGATGCATGCTCCTCCTGCGGGGATATTTTTGGAAGATCTAGTGAGTTGTTGGAGAGATGGGCAGGAAAAGCTACTGGATTAAGATACAGGGTACAAAACCTGCTTTGAGGTGGCTGCAGCCATACTGCAGTATACGGAAAAGATCCTGCCGCCCGCCCAACCCTGACCTCAAGGGAAGGTCGCAATGTGGCACTGTTAGCAAATGGAAGAAATTCCATGGTGCAGAAAATAGAAGTGAAGTTCCTTGGCGCCCGGTTCAGGGCCACCCCGCGGAGACCTCAGAAGCAACCAGGACTGCAGATGCTCCAGGGGTCTCAGCTAGAGTTCTGAAAGGACCTAAGAAGAGCCTTCTCATCCCCCTAAGCCCTGGAGAGCAAGCAGGCCCAGGCTGGACTTATTCTCTGAGCACAAATCCCAGACCTCTTTCAAGACCCGGTGTCAGTGTTTTCCTGGGCTTCTTCCCCACTGATCTGGACTACTTACGATTCATTGCATCTTTAAAGTGGGTCTTCTCTGAGGAGTCATAAACAAACTGCACCTTGCTCAGCCTCCAAGTGGCCTCGGGTCCCTTGGACGTGTTGTGGCTTTCCTGACAAGAGGGAGAGTCTGTGTGAACCTCTCTGAAGGCTTTACAGAGGCTGCTACCGCCTGCACCCAAGCGGAGTTCACGTCCCTCTGCGCGCCCTCAGGGAGTTACCTTCACAAAGAGCATTTTGAGCGTGTACGCGCGATCCACCCAGAACACCTGCAGCTCCGACTCGTTGAGACCACAGCTGCCCTTCACCTCAGCTCCCCGGGTCAAGGCGATGTCAGCCTGCTCTGTGATCAGCTGGGAACACACACGCCCCGCGCCCCCTCAGCGCGCCGGGCCAAACTCTAGCTTGCAGGTTTGGGCGCTTCTTCGCGCGCGCCGGGGTCCAGGAACATGCGGGTGGACTCTCACGTGCAGACCCCGCCAGGAGGGGGGCAGAGAGGGGGTTAACTTTTAAAGCAGGCAGGGCTAGCAGAAGGCGGTACAAGCCGGAACCCCATGCAGCATTCGGGAACCGCCTGCAGGGGTGTGCGGGGAGAGGAGGGCGACCAAGGTCTTCGCAGGGCCTGGAGGGAGGATGCCCTTCGGCCCTGGAACCTTAGGAACAAGCTGGGGAGGAAAAAGATTCCTTACATCCACGTAATTGCTGGCCCACACATCGTAAGGTACAATAAATTTGGCTGCAAACTCTGCCATGAGACATGTCGTCCCATTTTCGCGCACCACAAATATGTCCTTTTCAGGGTTCGTTGAAAGGCCTGAAAGATTTTCCACTTCTTGCTCTGCCGTGATCCGAGCCATTGCATCTGTGGAGCAAGCAAAGGATTCCCATGGGTTTCGCGCTCAGGAGCCCACGCGGTGGACAGGAGAGCGCAGAGCGGGTTCTCTGCAGGCTTTGGAGTGGCTGAGTTCCCCGCTCTCAGCTCTGTGCTCTGCAAACATTCCTCTAACCCAGCGCTTACAACTCAGTTCCGTTGCTGTTGATTTACAATGAAAATAGAATTTAAAACATTTTAATCCTCACTTGCAATGTGACTGGCCTTCAAAAAAAAACACAGAGGGTTAACACTAAATTTTTCTTAGCGATGCTGTGGTCCCCACGGTCTATCTAGCATCCTGTCCAGGAGGTGTCACACAGGTGTGTGGCTCTCAAGGAGAGATCTCTGCCACCGGCACCCCCAACCCATCCTCAAAACATAAAGACTTGTTTTAAATCTAAAGCTACTGGCTTTCCTATGTGGGCTCGGTTCTCCATCCATCTCGCCCTCCCAGTCCCCTAAACGGACTCACGGAAAAGCATTAGGAGAATCCGAAGTCTGTCCCCGCTGAGAAGGGTTCTTCCTCGGAGATCCATGCTCGCAATTGCCGGGAACCAGACAGAAGTGCTGTTGCAGAAGCCGCGGAGAGAGGAAACCCCTCAAAGTGGCGGGCAGCGCGAGCGAAGGGCGGGGGTTGACAGGGAGGAGCGAGAGCCGGCGGGTCTATCCCCGGCTGCACCCTGCTCTGCTGGCCCGCCCGCGCCTCACTGCAGAGGTAGCTAGAGCCCAAGGTGCGGGAGCTGTCCACGCCGCCAGTGCTGGAAATAAGGAAGTTTGGTTGCAGGACTGGTGGTAGCTTGGCTTGTTTACAGAGCCAATGGGATTGGGGTGGGTGTGGGGGACTACAATTCTCCCTGGGTCTGTTTTCTTTTCCGCAATTATATCTGCAAACACTAGTGTGTCCTAGGAAACTTAATTACACCCGTAGTATTAAGCCCTCCCACCAGGTACAATCAGTATGTGGTATAGATACCACATCACCATCACCGGAGCCCCAGATTCTGGAAAAACATCTGCTCCTGAAAGAAAATTTTACAGCTCAAATTGTTCCTGCTTTGGAGAAGGAGAGGTGGGCAGGAATAGAGAAAGAAAATGCTATGGCAACAGTTCCCAGCATTCAGAGATTCCTCCTGTCCCTGTTCTCAAGAGCTCCTGTTTAAAGTTAAACAGACACCTCCTCAGATGGCCTCAGACAATGCAGTGCGCCCTTGTGGAAAGAGGGCCCTGAGAGTCCCCTCTTTGAGGACGCATGGCCTGCGTCCTGGGGTCACCTACCTCACTCATTCAGTTGTGGTCACTTACTAAGAGGGTTGCGAATGAACCTGAAGCTTGTGAGCTTATAATGTTATCTGAGGACTTTTAGGATGGGAATTTTAGATTATTCTGTAAGTAATAGGTCATGGTCATGCAATAAAAAGTACATGAGTATTACTCTGAGGCCTTTAGCAGATCAGAAAAAGCAAACATTGATGAGATAATTCCTATATTTGCATTTTGGTCTCTCGCTCATTTTTTATTCTTGTTCTGTAAATCAGAATGCATCTCTTTCAGGAATAGACATGCTGTCCTCAATTAACTGTAATGATGTTCAAATATTTTTTATTAGAGGATATTTCATTAGGTCAATAAATCACAATTGTGTAGGTAATTTAATGTCATGACCAATGTCATGTTAAAGGGCAAACTGCAAAGTATTTTTACCTATGTCATCAATTTGATTCTCTTTACAACTTTACAAGCTAGGCAAGGGGAAATACAGGTTATTGTTGTTATACCTATCCCCAAAGTGAGACTTTCAGAAATTAAATGACCTTCCCAAATGTCATATGGCCAGCTAGAATTAAAATAGAAATCACATGCTTTAACTTTAAAGGATCATTTTCATTTCTTTTCCTGTAACATTGATCCCAAAACATAACCTACTATGACTGCCTTTATTTATTAAGTAATAAATCAACCTAAAAATATAAATAATTCACATCCTTGAAATGTATAGAATGTGGATTTAAGTATAGTTATATTCTCACATAGTATTTTCTTCAAAGTGTTTATATAATTATTTTGCTTTCAAACACATTCTCATATCAATAATTAGATTCTTAGCAGCTCAAGTTATAAAGCAAAAGATAAATCAATACATTTTACATCTGTATTTTATCAAAAATTAACAACCTTATATATATGTAGAAGAAATGGAAGCAAAATGGTGATTGATATAAGCTCAGTTCTTATAAGCTGAGAATGAAAGTTATAAAATGTATGTGTCTTATGCTGTCATGTTAACAATAATTATGTAACTCTCCTTTCCCTGTGGTGCTATAAAAATTATAAAGCAACAATCTCTCTCTCTCTCTCTCTCTCTCTCTCTCTCTCTCTCTCTCTGTGTGTGTGTGTGTGTGTGTGTGTGTGTGTGTGTGTGTGTGTGTGTGTGTTCTGTCTCTCCACTATTTTAACAAAGAACGAAAAGGTGGATCTCCATCTAGGATTTATTTGTTAGATATGTGACCTTGTGCAGATTTTAGTTTTCCTTGTCTAAAACATTGTGGTAAAAATTAAGGGATGGTTGCTTAGGCCAAATGAGCCAATGAATATAAAAGCACTCAAAATCAAATACAGAGTGAAATAGTCAATATACTAGAGTACCAACCACTTATCTTATGTGTAGTAGATAAACAAATAGCATTATCTAAGTAGGAATGATACATGTAAAAGATCATGGCAGTTTCTTTTGTGATACATTATTACAGATATCTTTACCTTATAAGTCATTAAGAGACCAGTTAAATTAATTCTTGATGGCCTGTTTTATAGCAAAAGATTAAAGGGGAAGTATCCTTGACCTTAATCTGTTGTACATGATCTATACAGCAGACAATGGTTCTTTCAGAATCATTTATTTCCATTTCTTCTCATTCCTGATAGAAAGTATGCTTTGTTGACACCAGACAGTGCTTAAGCAAGTTGAAAGGAATAAAAGGAGGAGAAATTTTAACCTTTCTTCCTGGGAGGATCAGCTTCAAAGCCTAATTAATGTATTGTCTTTTTAAGTACTTAATCTTAAGCATGGTTTAAACATAAATACCCATTAATTTGTTCAACTTACCACGAGTGATTCTTATTTGCAGTAGGAATTGAATTATTAAATCTACAACTTATATCTACATTAATTTAGCAGTTGTCTAATCATCTTGAAAAAGATATATCCAGTTCCTTTAAAATGACCAAAGAGGTGATAAAGGAGAAATTTTAGCAATATGTCATACCTTTAGATATTAACAAAACACTTCAGAATGAATTTGATCCATTTTTCACTCCTCGTATGGAAGAAAGGAAGAGATTGTTCTGAATATGTACACTTGCCCAAATGCTGGCAGGGTCGGTTTTCATCACTGCTGCTGCTGAAGGCCAGAACCAAATGTGAGGTATAAGTGTGACTCAAACATATGGGTTTGAGATCTCCCCTAGATCCTCTGGGTCCTTCAGTAGATTTGTTTCAGTTCGTGCACTGACTAAACATTAGTTTTTGTGACTATCATGTCATCAGGTGATTGCTCTATTAAACAAGTAGGGAAAGGGGCCTCAAGATAGAACTTCCATTGTGAGTGGGATCACACATGAGGATATGGTGGGACCAGCACAATGTATGCATAAACACTTAGAGGAAAATATAAGGCAGTCATCCCGGGAGAAGAGAGGCTTTAAGTGATAGAAGGGGCCTCTTGGAAAAGGTGGGTCTTGACAGAAGCAACCAATTGACTGAAGTGGAAAAATACCTATTGAATAAGAAGACAATGCAAAGATGTAACTCTTCATACTTCCATGTCTGTGAATTTGCAATAAAAAGAAATTAGGTCCCTGAATCCATAATGTCTTATATGCCATATACCCTTCTTAGGACTTCTTTGAATGTTTAGCTTTATACAGATGCAAAACTATCACATATAAAATATGTTCCAATAAAATTAAACTTTTCAAGTTGTTAGGTGCATCGCTATAATTGACCTGTATTCATAGAATCAAGACAAAATCATGAAATTCTGAAAACATTACTAATTATAAGATCATGTTCTGTGCTTCAAAGGAAAAAGACTGGGACTTGTTCCAGCTAAAACTTGGTTAGCAAGGTGTCTATCCATCCTACAATGAAGTATAAAAAATGATCTAGGCTGTACAACACCAATGCCACTCCCTCATATACATGCAGAAGCACACATAAATCACAGAAGCAGCATAATTCAACTAAATTAAACTAGACACACACAAATATTAAGTCAGAATACTATTTCATTCCATCAATCACTACATACCTCTTAAATTCTTTCTAGGATAGAAAACTCTTGGGGGTAAAAACTGAAACACAAATTTTCATAAGAGTATCTTCTGCATATGTTGCCAGATGCTATAGTATTTGGAAAGGATCTGGAAAGCGAGTTTGGATTTCTGGTATACTCAACCTTTCTCATATTAGTATAATTTTTCCTGGTGTTTCTTCAGTCTTTCCCACATTTATTTCAATAAGGGAACTTTCTACAATAAGGGTAATCACTGAAGGAAACAAATCACCAGAATAATGGCCCTTTCATTGTCTGTGTATATAACCAGACCTAAAGAAATGTCCTTTATGAACCCATTTAAAACAAATGCTCTCTGGTCTGTGTCCCTATTCCCTATTGGCAATTTGGGTAAGTTCTTCAGAGGATGGTGTGATAAGAACAGGAGGTAGGAATTGCTAGGCAGTTAGCGTAAAAAGACCTCAAAGAAAAGTAGCCAGTTTCTTGGTTAAAAGTCAAAATGTCACCGGGCATGGTGGCCCATGCCTTTAATCCTAGCACTTGGGAGGCAGAGGCAGGTGGATCTTTGGGAGTTTCAGGACAGCTGGGGCTACAGGGAGGCCCTGTCTCAAAAAGACAAAAAAAAAAAAAAAAAAAGTTAAAATGTCCTTGGACCTCTTAGCAACATACTCTGCTCCAAAGGCCAAAAATGTTGAAAGTATTTGGGAGCTTGTATCTAATCCTTAAAAGATTTTAGGATTACCTCTTCAGAGGGGGGAATGTTAGAGTAGCCAAGAGCTCCATAAAAATAAAAAATAAAAAAATCAAAGAAGAAAAAAAATACTCTCACCATAGGTAAAAGGGAATGGAGAGGCATGAGCAGTCAAACCCCGACCTGGGAAGAGGTCAGGTAGTCATCCATCAAAAGCTCAGGAACAAAGAAATCAGTTTCATCTTTGAACTGTGACAAAGATGACAGTTCTGGCTAGTCTTAAACTAATCAAGTAGGGATTCAGTTATAATTACCTTCAATGTATAAGGTCATGGAGCACAATTCATACCACTTCTCAGCAGCAAGGAAAACCTTGTTAAATTGGAGCATAAGATCTTTCCATAAAGTTAAGACAAAAGTTATAGGTGTTTGTTGTTTTTGTTGTTTCATCCTTTAGGAGGATTTCTCTCCAAGAAATAACTACAATATGGGCCTAAGATTAGACAACCTGAGATTCAGTTAAAGTAGTTTGCTACCTGACTTCTGAAATTAAGTTCTTAAAATCTCGTGTAAGTGCCCCTAGGGGACCTTGTTACTTTTTTTGTTTGTTTTGTTTTGCCTTGTTCTGGAACGGGTTACGTTCCAGCCTTGCCTTGATCTCACTTGATCAGCCTGCCTCTGTGGAGTGCTGGGATTAAAAGCATGGCACTACTCCCAAGGTTTTTTTGTTTTTTGTTGTTGTTGTTGTTGTTGTTTTTGTTTTCACTCATTTAATCGTCCATCTGAAGTATTTACGTATGGCCTTGAAACTAGGCTGGGGACACACAATGGTACTTGAGAGGGAGGAGGAGATGGAGTCCAGAGCCTTTTGTACCCTGGTAGAATCCATTCAAGCCCAGCAGCTGGGGTCCTGAATGCACCATACTCCATGTGGTAAGTTTGGGACCTTTTCTAATGGCTGTTTTTGTGAAAACATTGTAAGCTGCTCTAGTAACAATAACACCAAAAGCTGAAAAGGGGAAAAATATATTAGAAAGGCCTCAGGAAGTGGGAGCCTCAGAAACTATGTTGTTTGTATTTTTCCAGTAGCAACCACATTTGGCAAGACCAGCTTTATCCCCTAGCCTTTAGCGCGCCTTTCCTAAGGGATGCTGCTAGGGCTGAATGTCCCATATCTATGAATGGCTTTAGCAGGGATGTAAACTGAGCAATTCCTGTAAAGAGAAAATACTGAAAATTTCATCATGAACGCATACTGTTAGAAGCATGCAATAAGTGTGCACTGGTCAGACACACAGACTGGTCTGTGGCATTACCTTGGGACCTCCCAGCGCTAGGAGAGCCAAGTTGCTCAGGGCTGAGGATCCTCCTGCAAGGAGCTGCACTCCCAGAGCACACTTCCTGTGAACGTCAAGCCTGACGGCTTCTGCTCACGCATAGGGAGACACGGGTTACTGTTTGGAGTCTTGCTGCCTTCGGGAACTGGCGAAGACCTCAGCCAGGGAAAAAACCTTGGTGCCTGGCACCTGTACTGCGTTTCCCAGGCACTTTAGCTCAGCTGCTCCAGGTATAGAAGTGGGAGAGAAAAACCCTGCCCAGTAAAGACCCGCGTGTTCCAAAGCTGAGGAGAGAAGTCAATTCCCAGGATCCTGGAGTTGAGCCAAATACCAGTCCTGGCTACAGGATTCATAGTCTTATGTTCGCTAGGGCGGCACAGAGGTATATCTAGAAAAAGGGAAAAAAAGCTCTCTTTAGAGGAGTCCTTGTTAACTTCTCTGCGACCCTTCCTTGGACCAGCTTTGTGTCCCAGAGGTTTTGGCTAACTCCACTGGAGCTGGGAAAACAGGCCTTTGGGGGTGGGGGGGGGTCCCTCCTTTGCTTAAAGAAAGTGAATAAGTGGATTGAAAGAGAAGGAAGCTGGAGGAGGAGGAGGGGGGGGGGATTGAGTTACAACAGAGGTTTCATGCCCAGCTCCAACCGCCAGCGTCAGCGCAGGGTCCTCACCTCTGGGAACAACCCGAAGTGCCCCAGTCGCCCAGCTCCAGGTAAGAACAACAGGATGCTGTGCTCCAATGCCAGGGGCGCGTGGAAATCCTCGGAGGTCCTTGCAGCACTCCGGTCTCGGAGAAGGTGGAAGCAGAGAGGGCCTACAAGTTTCCAAGGGTGCGATGAAAGCGCGGGGTATATATTCCTGGGAGCAAGCGGCTGCGGAAGGCTCAGAGCCCCGGGGCCTGGAGGTTAAGGTTTTGTTCTGCTTCACCCCTTCTTTCCTGGCAGTCTGGGGGTGGGGGTGGAGCGTAGGGCATTCCAGCTGGAAGAAAAACTCAGACTTCCACTTTAATGAGAGTCTCCAGGGACAAAGCAGAGGCCCGCCTTTCAGCAAAAATGCTTTGCTCTCAAGAGGCTGTTAGCTAACACAGAGGGCTGCAGGGAGTCTGCCCGCACTTAACCAGCTTGATGCGCTGGCCTCCGCTGGCCCGACCTGGGAGCTGGATAACTGCAGGAGCCCAATCAGTGGCCTATCTCGATTCTCCCTTCTCCAGTACATAGAGCAGACTAGAACTTTGCGGTCCCACACTTTAAAAACGCAGGAGTCATCCCGGTTATGCCCTTTAAAAACACTATTTAATATGCATATATATATATATATATATATATATATATATATATATGCAGCGCATGTGCGTGCGTGCGTGTGTGTGTGTGTGATGATGCTGGGGAATCAAACCCAGGGCTTCATATATGCTAGGCAAACCTTCTACCACTAAGGTGGGGGAAAGCCAACCCTTTCTTTTATGTTTTTTAGTTGACATTTAAAAAAGTTTATTTATTTAGGTGCCCCTTCCATGGTACAAGTATGGAGGTCAGAGGACAACTTATGGGAGTAGGTTCTCTCCTTCCAACCACATGGGTCCTGGAGAATAAAGTCATGTCTTCAGGCATAGGGACTAGCACCTTTACACCCAGATTCATCTTGCCAGCCCCTTTTATACTTTTAAAAGAGGAATTTTCCTTTAAAT